GATTTCTCTTGAATTCTCCTTGGCATATCTCCATATCCTTCTTTATATGTCCAATGATGAACCCCACATCTCTCCACCAGACTTGAATGCCCCCTTAAATCAGTCAATTGACCTAGGGTTGACCTAGGGTTGACCCAGATGAAACCCTAGTTGACTGTCTTCAACTGCAATATTTGTGATCACACCAATGACTTGTCTCCTTCTTTAAATGACTTTCTAAGTCTCTCATAATGTCTAGATACTCTCCATGCCTTCAACTCACAGCTCACAACCCTCTTGCTGACCCTCAGATACCCTTAGCTAGGAGATGGACTCAAGGCTTGCTCTGCTGAACTCTTTGCTTTCAAATTCTTTCCTGATGACTTGAATGAGGGTGAATTGTGATGATAACCTCTTGATAGGCTTCTAGAGATGAGAATAATGATTGGTCCCCTGTTGAATGACTTGTTATGCTATGCTATGCAGATGATTAGTCTATGTACATGACTCTATATGCAAATGCTAATGACATTGAAACATAAACCAAGTGAATAAGGTTGGGCAAATTTTGGGGTGCAACAAGATGTTATGGTGGTGATGCATCAGTGAAGAATGTGAAGCTTCAGTCCTTGAGAAAGCAATATGAGAATCTCAACATGAAGAATAATGAGAAAGTTTCTGAATACATCTCCAGAGTGATTCTGATCACTAATGAGATGAACGTGTGTGGAGAAACTCTTTCTGAAGAAACGATCATGGAGAAGGTATTGAGATCCCTTACCTCTCAATTTGATTACATTGTGGTAGCAATAGAACATTCCAAAGATCTGAGTACCATGAGAATTGAAGAGCTGCAGAGCAGTTTAGAAGCGCAAGAGTTGCGTTTGACTGAGAGAACTTCTGAAAGGGAAGTAGAGCAGCAGGCTCTGAAAGCAACTTCTGATAGGAGGTATCAGAAGCAGTCAGAAGCCAAGAGAATATCTGATGGTGGTCAGAAGTCAGAAAGCTCAATCTCTGATAGGCAAAAGAATGCTCAGAAGGGAAAAGAGAAGTATGACAAGAAGAAGATCCAATGTTACTGTTGTAAGAAGTTTGGTCACTTTGCTAGAGATTGTTGGTCAAACAAGGAGAAGAAATCAGAAGAAGCAAATATAGCCAGAAGTTCTGATGACGAATTTGTGCTATTGATGGCCTCTGAATCTGATGATATGGATCTGACAGACTGGTGGTATATGGACACTGGCTGTTCAAATCATCTTACTGGAAACAAGAAATGGCTGGTTGACTTTGACTCTGAAAAGAGGACAAAGATCAGATGTGCTGATGACAAATATCTTAATGCAGAAGGTATGGGAAATGTCAGAGTGACTCTGAACAATGGGAAAACAGCATTGATTCAGAACGTGTGGTATGTACCTGGCATCAGAAGCAATCTGATGAGTGTGGGACAATTAATTGAGAAAGGTTTTTCAGTTACCATGAAGGACAATCTTCTGAAGTTGTATGACTACAATCAGAAGTTGATTATGGAGTCAGAACAGGGAAGGAATAGAACATTCAAGGTGAATGTCAGAACTGCAGACTCAGAATGTCTTAGTGCAACATGTGCTGAGAAGGAGAGTGAGCTGTGGCACAGAAGATTTGGTCATTTGAATTTCAGAAGCCTAAAACATATGAATTCAAAGAAGCTAGTACATGGAATTCCTGCAATTAAGAAGCCTGAAAAGTCATGCAAAGTTTGCATGGAAGGAAAACAACCACGCTTGCCATTTGCGTCAGAAGTTGCTCCAAGAGCAAAACATGCCTTGGGAGTTGTACATTCTGATGTGTGTGGTCCATTTCCAGTAGCATCAATTGGAGGGAATAAATACTTTGTGTTGTTTGTTGATGAATTCACAAGAATGACATGGGTATCCCCTATTAAATTTAAACATGAGGTGTTTGATGAATTCAAGAAATTCAGAATGAAGGCTGAGAATCAGAGTGGTCAGAAGTTGAAGATTCTTAGAACTGACGGTGGAGGTGAGTATAACTCCAAAGAGTTCCAGAAGTTCTGTGAGGAGAATGGAATTGAGCATGAGGTTACTGCTCCTTATACCCCTCAACACAATGGTCTTGCTGAAAGAAGAAATCGCACTTTGCTTGATATGGTGAGAAGCATGCTAAAGGAGAAGAAGCTTCCTCAGAAGCTATGGGGAGAAGCTGTTGCCACTGCAACGTATGTACTCAACAGATGTCCTACGAAGAAGTTGAAGGAAATAGTTCCTATGCAGAAGTGGACTGGAGACAAGCAAAGTGTTAGTCATCTGAAGGTGTTTGGTTCTATTTGCTATAAACATATTCCAGAAGCCAGAAGACAGAAGCTGGATGATAGAAGCAAAGTGATGATTCTGATAGGGTACCACAGTACAGGTGCATACAAGCTCTATTGTCCAGAAACCAATAAAATTGAATTCAGCAGAGATGTGATTGTGAAGGAATCAGAAGTTTGGAATTGGGATAAGTCTCAATCTGATTCTGATGTTAGAACTTCTGAAGAAAGGTCAGAGTTAAGAATTTCTGAAGTTGAAGTAAACTCTGACGTTGATTCTGACTCTGATAGTGATTCTGACTCTGGAGAAGACTCAGAAGATGAAGGTGACTCTGATGATCCAGAGTCTGATGGTAATCCAGATTCTGGTGGAAATTCAGACTCTGAAGATGGCCAAGACTCTGAAAATATGCCAGATCTTGAAGATGGTCAAAGCTCTAGAGGAAGTCAATCATCTGAAGCTGGAAACTCTGAAGCTCAAGACTCTGAACAAGTTCAGAGACCACAAAGAATCAGAAGCGTTCCCAGAAGATTTGCAGAATTTGACATGCTGCAAGACACTGAAGTAGACTCTAAAGGAGAAGTTATTCAGTGTGCCATGTTAGTAGACTCTGAACCTATAAGTACAGAGGAGGCTCTTAAGCAGAAGCTCTGGCTGAAGGCCATGAAAGAAGAACTTGATGCTATAGAGAGAAACAAGACTTGGAAGCTGACAGAACTTCCAAAAGACAAGAAAGCCATCAGCGTCAGATGGGTTTTCAAGCAGAAGTTAAAGCCAGATGGCTCAATTGGCAAACATAAATCAAGGTTGGTAGCCAGAGGATTTCTACAAAAACCTGGGCTGGATTACTCTGAAGTGTTTGCACCTGTAGCAAGACATGAAACAATCAGAATGGTGATTGCAATAGTTGCTAACAGGAATTGGCCTCTGATGCATTTAGATGTAAAATCTGCATTTCTGAACGGTCCATTAGAAGAAGAAGTTTACGTGTCACAACCTCCTGGATTTGTGAAAAAGAATCAGGAAGGGATGGTGTACAGATTATACAAAGCTCTATATGGATTGAAACAAGCGCCCAGAGCTTGGAATCAGAAGAATGATTCATTTTTCAAGAAGCAAGGCTTTCAGAAATGTGAGATGGAGTACGGTGTCTATGTTCAGCATACTTCTGAAGGCAATATGACTCTGGTATGTTTATATGTTGATGATATACTGCTGACTGGAAGTTCTGAACAGGAGGTAGCCAAGTTCAAGAAGGTTCTAATGAATGAATTTGAAATGACTGATCTAGGCAAAATGACATACTTTCTAGGGATGGAGTTCAGATATTCTGAGAAAGGTATCATTTTGCATCAGCTCAAGTATGAATTAGAACTTCTGAAGAGATTTGATCTGAAGAATTGTAAGATGGCTGTCACACCTTCTGATACAAATCAGAAACTGGATTCAGACTCTGAAGGAAAGGATGTGGACGCTACAACCTTCAAACAGTTGGTTGGTTCTATGAGGTATCTGTGCAATACCAGACCTGATATTTTCTACTCAGTTGGGATGGTTAGTAGGTTCATGAGTAAACCTAAGTGGTCCCATTACCAAGCTGCTGTCAGGATTCTGAGGTATATCAAAGGAACTCTGAAGTATGGAGTGTTATTTCCCTCTGGAGGAAATAATGAGTCAGAACTTCTGAGTTATTCAGACTCTGATTGGTGTGGAGACAGAGTTGACAGAAGAAGTACATCTGGGTACTTGTTCAAATTTCTGGGAGGTTCCATTTCTTGGTGTTCCAAGAAGCAACCTGTTGTGGCGTTGTCAACCTGTGAAGCTGAATACATTGCAGGTGCTGTTACTGCATGCCAAGCTGTGTGGATTCTGAATCTGTTGCAGGATCTGAAGATTAAAGTAGACAAACCTCTGAAGTTGATGATTGACAACAAGTCTGCAATCAATCTTGCCAAAAACCCAGTGTTGCATGGGAGAAGCAAGCATATTGAGACCAAGTATCATTTTCTGAGACATCAAGTTCAGAGTGGAGTTTTAGAAGTTGTACACTGCAGCACTCAGAAGTAGTTGGCAGATGTTCTGACGAAAGCTATCAAGACTGATCAATTTCTTAGACTAAGGGATGAAATTGGTGTTACAAGTTTTGATGGAATATGAATTAAGGGATGGTATTAGAATATTAATAGTAATTCATATTTATTTAGTTGTACTATTTTCTTAGCCCCTAAGTTTGTTAGAGGTTATTTTAGTATTTTATCTTATTCTAGTAACCCTAGTTTTAACTTATAAATAGGGTGACAATCATTGTAACTTTTATCATGTTTTTCTAGCCGTCATTCTTAATAGAATATTTCCTTTGTTCATAATTTATTCACCTTTGCACCAACAGCACACTGGCGCAGAGCATCAACTGCTACTGTTTAATACAATTCAATTTTGTCGAGAAATTTTAGAGCATCAACTTCACGAGCGTTCTAAAACGCTTTAGAAGGCCTAAAAACACTATTATAATTTATGCACTTGTCAACATCACATTGTTAACTGAAAATTTAAAATTCTTCTTAACTTTGAAAATTAACGACAATTATTTTTTTCAATATTAGAAAATGTTACACCCTTGCATCTCATATAATGCTACATAAATTATTAATTAAGCAGATCAAATAAACTTCAGCGATGGATTAATGACATATTCAATCTGTTGATCATTCACTTGCCATTTTGATGCTTAGACTTTTTCTGTTTTCTTATCTCCGACAGTAAATTAGCAAACCTGATCATAAATATAAATATTTGTAAGGTTTTTTTTTCATCGATACAAAATAAATAAGTTATCATTATAAAATAAAATGAATTACTACCTTTTAAGTTCTTTCTGAATGGTACCTTTATCAGGAACTGTTTCAAATACCCCAGAATCTAGATTCACACGAGTAAATTTTTTCTTCAATAAATTCTCACCAACTTTTACCAGATTATTCAGATTATCTGTAGTAGATAAGTCCACAGAATCTAATTCTCCCTCTAATGTATCATCCTGTTTGAAACAACCAATGGAAGTTAATTTGCAACAATATATATATATATATATATATATATATATATATATATATATATATATATATATATATATATATATATATATATATATATATATATATATATATATATATATATATAAATTTTAATACCTATTATTTGGTCAAACAAGAAAGATTCTAGCTTGCTTTCATATTAAAATATCACTAAGTGCTCTATTTTTTTAAGCTATTTTTAGAAATAAACAAAACCTAGCTGTTTTTTCAGAAATTAATAAAGAACTTCGATTAATAAATAAATTTGAAATACTTACTTGAATTCTGAGGTAGTTGTCTTGTGATTGAAGAGCAGTAAAAAGGACAGAGTTGTGATAATCAACCATATCGGTGCTTGCTTCATTGAAACAATCAATAACTGGAGTTGCACCAGAGTTGAATAACCATGTCAATGCACCCCATTTTGCTACCATTTTAGCATTGTACTTTTTCTCCTTCTTGTTTGATCCTGTTCCTATTGATATCACAAGAAAACGATCAAGCCCTACACCAGCATCATTGACACTTCTCCCTTTTGGCTGCCTTATCATATCCTTTGTCACTTCTCTTATTGCAACCAAAGTCTGCAAAGTTCATTATCAACAATCAAATTAACGTATAGTTGTGGCAATCGATATCAACTACTTATTTGTGATAGACTGGTTAATTAAAGATTTATGAGATTTGATTTTTTTTATTTTTTATAATATGTTAGGCTCTTGAGCCAAACTTTACCGGATTGTTAGCACAAACGCTGCCATCAATGAGGTTGTATTCTTGAATGACTCTCCCTTGTTCATCTTTTTTCTCAAAATAATGAGCTGGTAAAAATGTTGGAGCAGCTGATGTAGCTATGCAGATATCTGAGAGTTTTACATCTAAAGCTGGCTCAGCATCAATCTGCATAAATTTCAAGATTATTGATAATTTATTAAACAAGTGCATACATGGTTATGTTATGTATTCAAAAAACAAGAATCAACACAATACCTGATAGGAGGAAAAAATAGTAGGTTGAAATTTTTCAACATCAAAAGATGGAATAACAATGTTTGTAACAGTTTGGCTCAAAAGTGTATTCCCTGTCATCTCTCTTATTGTCTTGTGGAGATACTCTCCGTTATATTTGGGTCCCATTAAAACTTTTGCCATGTTCATCAGCGGTGCAAATATTCCACTGCAAATTGAATAATATTTCAAGAGTTATTAATTTGTTCTTCATTTAATGTTCTAAAGTTCTACTAATATAGGTGCATATTTAGGCTTAATTAATAATGTTAGTTACAAATGTACCTTTTCTGCGGAAAAATAAGTGGCAAGTTTTTAAGGTAAAATGGAACAATTTGTCTGGCAGCAAATAATGGACGGTTGTTGCTCTCTGGATCTGGAGTTGCTAACATGGCTGTAATGAGACCACCAGTACTTGTTCCAGCAATTACATCAAAATAATCTGCAAGTCTTGCATCAGCACCATCTATCTCCTGAAGTTGAGATTCAAGATAGGCAAGAATAACACCAGGAATGATTCCTCTTACTCCTCCGCCATCAATGCTAAGAACAGTAATGAAATTCACAGGCTTAACTTCTTCCATTGATACAATCAAACTGGTGTGTGGCTGAGTATGAAATGCAAATGGAGAACTTTATGCTCTTGGGCTAAGTGTGTGTCAGTATGAAGATGGAGAACTTATGCATTTAGGCAATGTGCATATGTTTGTATATATAGAGTAAGAAATTAATATTAAATATTTATATAAAAAAGTAAAATAAATAAAAAGTTAAAGATGATTAAGGGTCTCTTTGATGGTTATAGAAAGAAACGAGAAAAACTATGTTAGCTCTTCTATTTTTTTTTTTTGTCTTTGTAAAAGTTTTTATCCACATTTTAAAATACGATATTTTTATTAGAACAACAACAGATATAAAAAAGTTAACAGTAAATAGAAGTAAAAGATAATGAGCATGTTGATTTTTGTTAAAGCAGTTCATTCAATAGTGTCTAAAATTATAGTGCAATTATAATTTCCGTTTTTATGTTTTATTAATTAGGATTTCAGTGTTCTAATTTTATATATATATATATATATATATATATATATATATATATATATATATATATATATATATATATATATATATATATATATATATATATATATATATATATATATATTTATTTGTTTTTGACATAACTTTTATGAGAGAGAGAGTCATAATTTTCTAGTACTCATATCCTTGTGAATTTCCATACCTAATATATTATTAGCACCACATAAGTCTTTTATGTCAAACTTCTTTCCCAAGACACTCTCTGATTCATTTATATCATGTAAATGATTAGCAAGAATCAACATATCATCAACATACAATAACGAGAAAATAAAAGAGTCATCATCTAAGCTTCTAACATAAATAAAATAGTCATACTCACACCGTTTTAGCCAATGTTAAGCATGTATGAATTGTAGTGCTTATACCATTGACTTGGAGACTGCTTTAAATCATACAAAGACCTATTCAATTTACAAACTAGTCTGCCATGTCCATTGTCACTTAAACTTTCTGGTTGCTCTATGTGAATTTGGTCTTTTAGATTACCATGAAGATATATTCTCTTCACATCTATCTGCTCTAAATGCATGTCTTGCTTGGCTACCAAGACTAACATTGCCCTAATAGAAATACGTCGAATGACCATAGAGAAAATATCATCATAATCAATATTCTTCTTACATCATAATTTTATCCTAAGGTTAGCTTGCAACCTTTATAATATATAAGTTCATATGAGTTCAAGAGAACAACCCTTTCTTGATTTTACAATTACAGATCAGAGATGATAACAGCGGATAACACAAGTCTCTATATAAGTGTATAAGAAAATTTTAGGATAAGGTAAAAGTATAGAGAAGAAATTTTTCGAAAACTTTGTATGTTTTATAATCAAGACAAGACCTCATTTTATATTAAAAGATTTAGACAAATATAGAAACTTTGAAAATGCTCAATCTAATCCATAATTAATTATGATATGGTCATAATCAATTATGCACTTTCAAATAAAGAAATATTTGAACCATAATTGATTATTATGTCTTCAAAATTGATTACTAAGCAATTTTCTCCTCATAATTGGTAACACAACTACCATTATCAATTTTAGGATGAAATTAACTCTGTAATAGATTATAAATACATTTCAATCAATTACGCTTCATTTTAAAAAGATGTTGGCTATTTCCATAGGACTTTTCATAAGAAAATGAAGAGAGATGAAGATTTTCAAAATCATGTTGTGAAAGTGTAATATTGTTTTATTACTTGGAAAGTACCATAATTAATTTACATAATCGATTCTACAATGATATAAATCTTGAGTTTGGGATCATGTGGTGAGCTTTTAGAAATTACATTTGTTTCTTGATGTTGTTCATTTGTATTTGATCTTTTAAGTTAAACATCAGAAGCTTTTCTCTTTTTTATTTAAGTTATTCTTTCTTTATTCTTTAATGATGTTCATGATATTTTATTTTGTCCCCTTTGACATCACCAAAATTTGTTATGAACATATAATCACATTCTCCCTCTTTTTGATAATGACGAAACATCTCTCAGGGCAGTGACTTATAAGAAAGGTTAAGATGAAAATAAAATTGGATTTATAACTTCCCCAGACAAATTTAGTGAGTATATTTCCCCTTAGAGTAAACTTGCCCCCCCCTCCCCAATTTGTTTTTGTCCCCTCAATTTGTTTACCCGAGAGTGAAGTACTAGATTTTTAGTGAGGCTTATGGCGCTAGTGGTGTCCCACTTAATCGGGATAGTTCTGAGATTAATATCATAATCACTTAATTGTTTCTTCTTCTAGATATGTGCATAAAAACTACTTTTAGCAATGTATTTCTCTTCGGCAATTGATAACAAAACATATGATTGTTTCTTACTATGCCAAGGGACAAGAGAATTTCTAGGCAAATGACACATATCACTGGTACTTTTCTTATCCATTTTTTACCCTACAAAACCGACATCAGAGTATCCAACCAAAGTGTGATTCTCCCCTTTTAGAGTACCATTAACTCATATGTGGTATGCTAGTGAGATACCTCATAATGCATTTGACTACAATGAGGTGTGATTATTTGGTATTTGATTCAAAACATTCATGCATATACAGACAAAAAACATAATATTAGGATGACTAGCAGTAAGATAAAAAAAGGAGTCAATCATATCTATATATTAGCTTTGTTCCATTGATTTTCCTCCCTCATCTTTGTCTAAGTAACATGATGTGCTCATGGGAGTTGATCTTCCTTTGGAAATTTCCATCCTATATATTTTTAGAAGCTCTTTGCAATGCTTTGCATGATTTATGAAGATTCGTTCTTTAGTTTGTTATATTTGAAGTCCAAGAAAGTAGCGAAATTCACCCATCATTGATATTTCAAACTCATTTTGTATAATATTAGAAAATTCCTTAATCAGAGATTCATCAACGGAACCAAATATAATAGCTTCAGCATAAGCTTGAACAAGAAAAAAATACATGATTATATTTTTTTGATAAAAAAGAGTTGCATTAACCTTCCCACATTGAAAATTGTTTTTAAGTAGAAACTTGTTTAAATAGTCATACCAAGCACGATGGGGTTGTTTTAACATGTAAAAATCCTTTTTAACTTAAAGATATGATTAGCAGAAGATAAGTTTTTAGCCTATTACATTGGTCAACATAAACTTCCTCTTGGATGTAGTCGCTTAGAAATGCACTTTTTACATATATTTGGAAGAGTTTAAAGTTCGTGATGCAAGAGAAAGAAAAAAGAATTCTTATGGATTCTAATATATCTACATGGGCATAGGTTTCACTGAAATCTATGTCTTCCTATTAATTGTATCATTTAGAAACAAGTATTGTTTTGTTTCTTAAAATAGTACTATTTTTGTCAAGTTTGTTGCGAAATACCTATTAGGTTCCAATCACAAGATTAGTCATATGTTTAGGAGCAGAATCTTACAAATTATTTATTTTAAATTGATTTAACTTTTCTTGCATAACAAGCGATAAATGTTCATCGATGAGAGCTTCATTGATGTCCTCTGGCTTTATTTTAGAAATAAATGCCATAAAGTGTCATACTTTGTTTAAAGAATGTCAAGTAGTTTCCCTTTTTGAGATGTCTAGCTCCTATTACATTTTATATTGGATGATCTCTTGTAGTTATCCACTCTTTCGGTATATCTTGACAAGGTTATTTTACTTTATCGATTGTATGTTTGCCTAGTATGATATTCTTTTCTTGAATACCTGCATAATCAATGACTTGTATCTCTACTACATACTTGGGGTTAGTTTCATTAAAGGTAAATGTATAAATTCTTATATAGTCATAGCCACTTTGTTATAAATACGACCCTATTATAAAATATATCTTTCGTAACACCGATTTCCTAATGGACATAAAGTTAATTATTGTAATACTTTATTTCTAGACGCTTTTTCTTTTGGTATTTACTAGAGGACATGTCACAATGGAGATTGATTTAATCGTGGTAATACTTTATTTCTAGGCACTTTTTATTTTGGTATTTACTAGAAGATATGTCACAACGGTCAAGTGAAGCAACTGTGGTGAAAATATACACGGGGTGAAATGGTTCGAATCCTAGCACCTACACTTAGCAATTTATCATGATAAAAATGTTATTTACCTTGTATATCACCACAGTTTTACAGTCTCTTTCACTCGTCTCTCTCAAAACAAACCCTAAAAACTCTCTCACTCTTCTCTCCCATATGGAAACTCCAAATCAAAACCATAACAATAAATCTTACCCAATGGATATTTACAGGTTTGTTTTCTCTATATTTTTTTTTTCAAATTTTGTTCCAATAACTTTGTTTCATGATGTTTGAACTTCTTTCTTGTTTTGACTTGTAGGTAAGGATGCTTCTTTCAATAAAGAGAACGAAGATAAATTTAGCCTGACAAACATGTGTCAAAGATCCAGAATGACATCCATCCAAATTCTACACAAGTTTGCTGGTCTAAATTTATCTTCATCCTTATTTCATTAACAACACGCCTTTATGAGACATGTGTGGTATGTTTCTGAAGCATTTTATGACTTGATATGCTTGTTTTATCATTTATGTTGTTGATCAATATTTTTGATGAATGTTATTGTTAATGTTTGTTTAAAAGATGAGTTTATTATATATCATGTGGTTTGAGTGTTTTTTCAATCCCTTATCGAATATATAACTTTATAAAGTGTATTATAAAATTATGATATGATAGATAAATTTGTATTAGAAAATAAGTACATGTTCAATTCTTGATAAGTATTCTTCACACTGTTAACTGCATGTTGTTCTTTGACCGTTAGAACTTGGTTTAATGATCCTAGATCTTTCACCATCCCTATCCCCACCTCTAATTTTGTATGCAAAATAAATAATATTTTACAAAAATAGTTAGAGGTGAAGTCAGAGGCGGTTGAAGTACTAGGATCATTAAACTAAGTTCTTACTGTCAAAGAACAAAATACATAAACGGTGTTGAAGATCGCTTGCAAAGCATTTAAC